CTGACAGTCTGCAGTTAAAGCACATCTTGTTCGTTTCATTTGAAATCCATTGTGGTGGTGTATAGAGCCAAAAATGTTAGAATTGTGTCAATGTCCCAATATTTATGGACCTGACTGTATGTGATGTAGCAAGGACAGGTGTTTTCTCCTACCTTCTCCAAAGGACGACTGAAGGCAGAACTTTATTTTGTTTGAGATTTAAATTTACAAACATGCAGAATGAGCTAGCCTTGTTTTCAAACACATCTAGATGATGTATCACCACTTCAACCTCATTTTAAAAGTGTTTATCATTTGTACAGTATGCATAACATAGCAGTGAGCGAAGCACAAGATATCGATCATCTTAAAGCTGCCTTACGGATGTGATTAGTTAGTACCTGAAACTCAAATAAAGTAAACACCAGTATGCATTAAAAATAAATTGTCTGTAAATCATTTACATATTACTTCTATACTTCTATACATAGTATAACCTTAACCTCTTACACTATTAGTTATAACTAATTAGTTACACTAGTTGGTTTTTCACTTTAGTGATTCACCTTCACCTCACATGTTTTTAAACTACAATGACTCATTCAGTAACTACAGTGAAACTAATATGATAGATATGTAGTTGCTGGGCTGAGGACCATAATTCTGGACATATTGAGCATGTTGGACAACTGAGATAAAGGCTATCACATTTTGAAGGCATGGGTGAAAATATTACAATTATAATGTTTTGTAATAAATTAGCTTAGTGGGTAGTAATAATGGAATTAGTAGAAATAAATCATAAAAAAGTGTGTGTGTGTGTGTGTGTGTGTGTGTGCGTACATGACAACTGAAGTCTCAGCTTTTTTGGGGCATTTAACATTCAGTAGCCTCCTCCTTACAATATTATCTATACAAAACACACTACATTACTGTTGAGCCTGCAGAGAGTGTGTGTGTGTGTGTGTGTGTGTGTGTGAAGGGCAGGTGGAGGAAAGCTTTCGGTCCTGGTCCAATTCCTCTGTAATCCCCATCTTCCAGGTTTTCATAATGGAATTATTGCAGGTTTTCTGTTGGTCATGCACACTGAAAAAAAAAAGGAATATACGGTTGGTCAGATTAAAGAGAACATATTATGTATAGTTTACATAAAAAATTAAGTTTCTCATCAAAATGTGATTTCATTGCTTATACTAAATTTAATTTAAACAAGTTTCTAATTACTAGTTTGGATTATGTAGAGTGAGCATGAGCAATTCACATAGTATTAACATATTCCAATAACGTTATAATATCTTGTGAAGATGTTAGTGCTGATGGGAAGAAAAAACTATAGTATTAAATTAACGTGCCTAAAGCCCGTGTAGTAGAATAGCGCAAAAGTAAATGCTGTTGACTGTGTGTGTGTGTGTGTGTGTGTGTGTGTGTGTGTGTGTGTGTGTCTGTGTGTATATACAATTTTTTTAGAATTATCTGTGTGCTACCATGCTGCCATGTCTAAGCTAGCTTTCACTCACTGAGGAAGCTCTTGCATGCTAGTCTGCTGTAATAGACATCAAGAGCGAACACATTTTGATTAAAGATATGTGGGAAGCACAAGTGACATCAAACATGATTGATTACAGTAGGATGCCAAAGCTATTATAGTAATCAGCTGGAGAGGAACTAAGCAGAAGCAAACACAATAAATAGGTGCTGAGTGAACATGTAAGTAGAAATGCTAGATATGCAAATGGGAGCCAGTGCCAGAGCTGATGCAACACACCGGGCAGAACGCTATTCTGTTCAGCCTATGCCAGTCTCACAGCAACAGGATGGGAAATATCACATTTAACTTTGATTGGTTAGGTTCCCTGGTGGATGAGTGGCTAGCATTCGGCACTCTCATTGCTGTGGCCTGGGTTCAATTTCTTGTCAGGGATCCAACCCCAGCCACTGGAGGGTTGCACGAGACAGTGCACTCTCAGTGCCATTCCCAAGACCGGAAATGGGGAGGGTTGTGCCAAGAAAAGCATCCAGTGTAAAACTTATGCCAGAAGCAATATCTGGATGGGTGATCTGCTGTGGCAACCCTGAACAGGAGCAGCCAAAAGAGGGGGGAAAAAAAACTTTGCTTGATTGGTTAAAAAAAAAAGGTTATGAAGGAAATGGTGCTCAATGTTGGGCTTTACTCTTTGGAGCTTTGGATCATATGTCAGTAAAATTTTCAGTTGCGATTTTAAAACATTTAATGTAGATCAATACTCTAGCACATCACAGTTGTAAGAAATTTCTTTTATTACACTGTGACTACAGATAGGAAGGTACACTTTACTGGCCAGCTAATTTTAAAAGAAACATACAATCAACTCTTATGAGAGTTTTATCACGCTCACAAGTAAATTCATGAAGCAGAATGCTTTTGTTTTTGGTTTCCTGATCGTAAAACCAGAACTAGGTATAAACCCCTTTAGTGATTATAAATAAAAAGTGATGTGTGCACAACCTGATTGTAGAAAGACCTGAGTAGCCTAGCAACCTAGTGATACTTTTATGATCTGGCTGAAGACTTTATCAAGAATTTTATTTAGGAATCAGTTTGACAGTAGCTAAAATGTTATCCACTTATTATTATGGATTAGCACTAAATGACAAAATGAACATTTTCAGATGGTGTAAGTTTAGATTCTTATGACCTTTGTCATGGCACTGAAAGCCGAGGTGCTGCCCAACCGGTTACTCATTTGTAAGCTGAACAAAGTTAGCTCGAAAAACATGTACATTATTGGCAACTCCTCAGTAAGAACATGAGCTAGATAGTGTTAGCTAACTAGTTTCTTGATGTAGATTTTAGGCAAGCAATATGGGTTAGCTAAAGCCTGATAAATTCTTAGTTAACATGCAGACTTCACTGACATGATAGTTAGCTGAGTTAGCTGACATGAAATGGGCCCTACAAAGACAGAGCTCATCAGACCAGTTATGCCTCCTAACTTCCTGTAACCACAACCATCTTCTGTTAGTTTGGAAAGGTGTCCGATTCGATAATATGCAGTAAAAATGAACAAATTTATATGAACACTTTCTAATTCTGACACCCAGCACAGAACAATATTTTGGAACACAAATTCTGTCTTGCTCTTAAAAATACACCTATCTAAAGGTGATGTCCTGTACAAATTGATTATAATTACTAAAGACATCCTTCTGCAACATTATTTAACAGATATGTTATTAGAAATCTTATCCAATCTGCCAGTACCTATGACAACATTCTTGTTTAACCTCATTTGTCAAGGTGTCATATTTAACATTTAACCACATTTTTTTGAGATATATAGGAGATAAAGATTACATTTACTGTATGTCTCTGGTGCATTTGCTATCTTTCTTTTTGGGGCCTAATAGGGTAACTGTAAAGTAAACAATTTTGTAATGTGTGTGTGGGTGTGTGCGTGTGTAGTTGCATATAGCAGTGAGTAAGACACTGGCGCAGGTGATGGTGGACTGTAAACTTGCTGGAGAGAAGCCCATTAATGCTGCTGGCAACATCACCACTGACGGCATGGAGGTTTTGGGCAGAATGGTCCGATCCCGAGGAGACAGGGACAACTCTGCACCGGTATGTGTGTGTGTGTGTGTGTGTGTGTGTGTGTGTGTGTGCGCTCTTGTTTATATGTAAAGGATATGTTTGACTGAAGGTTGTACTTTTGTACCTGTTAATCTGTACAGTTGTGAATATTGATTAAAAAGATGTAATAAATATATTCAGATGTATAGACCTGTGGTCTCAAGTGTGTGTGTGTGTGTGTGTGTGTGTGTGTGTGTGTGTGTGTGTGTGTGTGTGTGTGTGCAGTTTCAGCTCCAGTCATTTGATATTGTGTGTAGTACATCATGGGCTCGTCGAGACAAGTGCTGCGATCTTCCCAGTCTGGTGAGCTCATTGTCACACTGTATATGTGTGTGTGTATGTGTGTGTGTATGTGTGTGTGTTGCTTTGTATTATGTTGACAGATTGGCCAGAAATGTAATGTACTGTAGCTCAGTTTAAATATAGTCAGTTATGTTTGGGGTCTGAAGTTTACTTGTTTTGCATGCAAACTGTGCCTGTGTGAGTTTGACTCTATTTTTTCTGGCCAAAAGGAGTTCAGTCACAGAGCTCTAGCAGGAGCTGTGGCCAAAAGTTTAAAACAGAATTCTTTGATATAGAGGATTCAGAGGATATCCAAATTATAACATTTTAAACAGGGGATTATTCTGTTATTTTATTTCACTGCTTCACATTGTGCTTGCATTTTGAGGCAAGTGTGATTTAGACCTGCATTTTGCATGATGCTAAACTGGTGACTATTAGCTTCCTGTTCTTCTTAGTGGCATTAGCCTTGTAGCCACAAAACTAACAAAACTAAATTCAGGCACAAACATGTCTTGGTGGATCCAATACATTTTAAATAGGGGATATGTGTAAATTTCATATCTGAGGACATTTTAGTACAGAAGTAGATGTATGGAACTTCAATAGTATATTGAAATATATTAGAATGCAGAGTCCATAGTCATGTGATTTTTCAAATCATACTGTTGCTGTTTTTGTTCTTATTTATTGTTGTTGTTTATGTCTTTGTTGACTTAAGAGGAAGGAGGCAGATTGTCCGGCACTGCCTCGAGCCTGTACATGCATGCAGGACAGTAAAGGCCCTCCTGGTCCACCCGGACCACCGGTATGCACAGGGCTACACACAGAATGTTGTGTAGAATGAAACACCCACAAATAAGTTTGATGGACATTTTCTTTAAATTCTTTCCACAAAATTAATTATAAACTCAAATTGTTTTGTATATGTGTCCCTTGCACTTCACAGGGAGGTCCTGGTATTAGAGGGGCAAGAGGAGATCGAGGAGAGCCCGGCCCTGTGGTACAGTCTGTTTATTAATGTCTGATCAGTTATACATCACCAAACAATGTGAGTGTAGTTGTCATTTTCTCTTTCTCTCTCTTTCTCTGTGTGTGTGTGTGTGTGTGTGTGTATATCACAGGGGCCAGTGGGCCCAGTTGGAGAATCAGGAGTACCAGGACCTCAGGGCCCTCCCGGCCCCCAGGGGCACAGCGGGCGATCCATCAGAGGCCCTCCGGTAACACACACAAAAACACACAAACATGTTTATACACACATGCACAGCACTGTGTTGTTAGTCTCCACAATTAGATGTGTCATTTTTAAACTCCCTGCAGATGCTGTGTGCTTTTTACACCCATGGTTTTTCTGGTAGGTTTGATAGAACTGATAAATACCTGACAACGTTTGTTATTATTTACTTGCAACCTGCTCATTTAGGACCTGAATGTGCTTCTGAGCTCTTCATAGAAGTGACCTTAGAAGGTGTACTGTGGGGTGTTTAAAGTTATGCTTATGTATGACCAATGAATAACCTTGAAAACAGTGGCAGGGATAATCCAGAAATAAAAATGTGTCAAGATGTGTGTGTGTGTGTGTGTGTGTTTGTTTAGGGTGGTCCAGGTGAGAGAGGGGAAAAAGGTGAAGCCGGACCTCGAGGTACTCAGGTAAAAGCTACGCATCTGCCTAAACTCCAACCTTTCACACAGTGTGAATAATAACTGAATAATAATCTGTAAGTTTAAGGGTTAACAAGACCAGGTTCTATACAATGTTTTTTTAAAAGAATCTACAGAAAATTTCAGAAGTAACAGGTACATTTAATCAGAAAATGTACTGCAGGTGTGTGAAATTATTAAATACTATATACTGTATGTTTTGCAGCCTGGGAAAACCCTTCACATGGTCATTTTTTTACATTTTCTGCTATTATATATAGTTCTGAAAACTGTATTTTCCTGAACTGAAATATGTTTCTCTTCCATGTGTATCTCAACCACGAGTACTTTAAAGTCTGTTTAAAATCTTTTTGTCATCTTGATCCTGCTCCTACTGCTCTACTCAAAAACTCTGCACCTGTTATTTCGCGGCCTATTTCACTTCTCATTTCTCAATTTCTCAGCACTGGTGTTGTTCCTCTTGAATTAAAAACTGCATCTGTCACACCAGTGTTAAAGAAGCCCGGCCTTGACCCCTCTGATATGGCCAATTACAGACCAATTTCAAATCTTCCGCTTCTCTCAAAGCTACTTGAAAAAGTTGTTGCTGCTCAACTTCAGGCATATTTGTCATCTCATAACCTCTATGAATGTTTCCAGTCCAGTTTTCGCACACTTCACAGCACCGAGACAGCTCTTCTTAAGGTTGTCATTGACCTCCTTATGGCCACTGACTCTGGCTCCATTAGCATTTTAATTCTGTTAGATCTTTCCTCCGCTTTTGACACTATCTCTCACAGTATTTTAATCTCACGACTCTCTGCTCTTGGTATTTCTGGAACTGCCCTATCTTGGTTCACTTCTTACCTGTCTGACCGTCAGCAATACATCTCTGTCCGCGAGGCTAAGTCCTCTACTGCTCCTGTCTCTCATGGTGTTCCTCAGGGTTCTGTTCTTGAGCCTTTACTCTTCATCATCTATATGCTCCCTTTAGGTAACATTATCCGTCATCATGGCTTTAACTTCCATTGCTATGCAGACGACACACCCAGCTCTATATCAGTTCTCAACATAACTCTCCTTTTCCCACCAACTCCATAACAGCCTGTATTAATGATATAAATACTTGGACGACCAATAACTTTCTCAAACTCAACACTGATAAAACAGATCTACATTTACATTTACATTTATGGCATTTGGCAGACGCCCTTATCCAGAACGACTTACAATAGTGCTTTGAAGTCTATCAAAAATACATTCTGATACCGGCTCACTAGGTCACAAACTAGGAATACCATCAGCCCAAGACTCTGTTGGGTTTTTTTTTTTTTTTGGGTGTGTGTGTGCGCGTGTGTGCGTGCAAGTGCTAACTTAAGTACTTAATGA